GTAATTCTCCTGCCTCAGCCTCTCGAGTAGCTGGGACTACAGGCGCCTGACTAATTTTTGTATTATTAGTAGAGATGCAGTTTCACCATGTTGGCCAGGATGGTCTTGATCTCTTGACCTCATGATCTGCCTGCCTTGGCCTCCCAAAGTGTTGGGATTACAGGTGTGACCCACCGCGCCTGGCCCATGTTTTCTACCTTATTATTCTGTCTCATTTTACCCTCACCAGTTTTCCATTTGATGTGTTGAATATTGCATCTTATTCTTAAAACTCTTCTGGAACAAAACAGCCACCAGCTTATACGGAAGAAAAATGCTTAGAGAAAATTCACTTCCATCCTCCGTATTTTACAAATGAGAAATTTCAGGCTCTAAGGTCCCAATAGCTATCAGTTTAAAAAGAGACTGGAATTTAGAGATCCAGAATATAGCTTATTGATTTTCCCTCAATATCTGTTTGTCTCCTGTGACATTAGATTTTTATTTTTTTTACCTCTCCTTAAGACAACACTGTCCAAGGGATGTTGATAGACATTTTCACTGACCTGAGGCAATATAAAATTTAGGAAATTCTGCATTCTACATGTTGCTTTGGAGAATCACAAGAAAATTCTGAGAAATCCTGTGCAATAAGTAAATCAATTTCATTCTGCTGAACCCATGTCTCCCAAACATATCCAACCACTAATAAACCATTTTTTCTTTTCTCTTGTGGGGGCATCCAAATGAGAGAGAGCTGCACCCATCAACACTCCTCAGATTCCACTTTGGGAAGTTCTGAGTTAAGAAAGGTCTGCAGGAGCAACGGTCTAAATCCCCACAGTAGCAGGAAGGGAGGAATGGTCAAAAGTCCATCCTGAAGAGCAGCTGCTCTCCATGCTACCAGGTGGTGCTACACCGCACTGTGCCCAGGGCCACAGGATGTCAAAGGGCCCAGGATCCACCAGTGAAGAAGCTGTACAGGAGGGCAGGGCAGTACCCTAGGCCTTTCTTTGCATGCTGCTTGGGTGCTCTTCTGCAGGCATGCCACAGGATGCAGCTCACCCTGACAGCCACAGGAGGAGGTGCCTGGAATCCTCTTTACTATGAAACATTAGTCTGCACCCACTGTGAATTCTAAAAAGACAGGGATGACAAATTCTTCTTCCACTGAGCAAATGCCATCAGTCAGTGGGGACAGAGTTCCAAAAATGACAACATAGCATGGTGTGTGTACCTCTGTGGGGGCAGCGTGTGTGTGTACAGAGCCCAAAGGGGCCTGACAGCTAAGCAAGCTCTGCTATGGCCCAAGGGACACCTGTGTTTGGACCCATGGAGCCCTAATGCCTAGACCCTGTAGTAGATGCCAATGGCAAGTCACTCTACCCTTTGGCAAGTCACTTACCTTCTCTGCTTTTGGTTTCCTCTTTGGTAAAACAGAATTGTTAATAATAGCAATAGGGTGATCAGGAATATTTGCAAAGTGCTTAGACTAGTGCTTACCTCACTGTAGGTACAATTTAAGTGTTTGTTAAATAAAATAGTGTCATTCACCTATAATCCCAGCTACTCAGGAGGCTGAGGCATAAGAATCACTTGAATCCGGGAAGCAGATGTCGAAGTGAGCCCAGATGGTGCCACTGTACTCTAGCCTGGGCAACAGAGCAAGGCCCTGTCTCAGGAAAACAAAACAAAACGAAATTCAAAATAAAATAGTGTCATTAAGTGTTTACTCCAATTTCCCTCGATGGGTAAACATTTTCTTTCATAATTGATGGTGACATATAACATTGGTGAAACAAGTCCCTTGCATGCCGTGCTTTGGGGCATCTGGCCGAGCTGTGATGATGACACACATGAGGCCCGTGCCCATGCTTACTTAGCTGCCTGCAGGCTCTCCCAGCTTTCTGGCGAGGTGCGGTCACATGTTATGAAGAGCCAGCTGCCGGCATGTGCTAAAGATCAGGCCTTGGGGGTTACCGGAGATCCCGGCAGAAAAAGAATAAGCACGCAGGACAGGAGGCGTGGCTGCAGACTCACAGATGGGCCAGCAATTACCCTGCACATGGCGGTGCCTTCCAGGGGCCTGCTGGTCCTGCTGCTGCAGGCAGCACCTCCAAGGAGTCCCTGGCTGGACCAGGAGAGCTTGGCCCTGCCTCAACCTCACCGTCCCTTGGTAATCCTTATCTCAGCTGTGAAAAACAATAAAATAAAAACTGCTTGAAAAACAGACCAAAAAATGTACCAAATAGAAACAAGAAAGGGAAAGTGTATTAAAGCCTTGGTTACTTTTTCTTGCTATCTTTGTAATGTACTTGAAAGTACCATCATGTAAGTATATTTCTAAACATTTTTTTTTTTTGAGACAGCGTCTTGCTCTGTTCCAGACTGGAGTGCAGAGGTGTGATCTCAGTTCACTGCAGCCTCTACCTCCCAGGATCAAGTGATCCTCCCACTTCAGCCTCCCAGGTAGCTGGGCCTACAGGTGCATGCCGCCATGCTTGGCTAATTTTTGTAATTTTTGTGGAGATGCGGTTTCAGCCATGTTGCCCAGGCTGGTCTTGAACTCCTGGACTCAAGCAATCTGCCTGCCTTGGCCTCCCAAAGTGCTGGAAATTTAGGCATGAGCCACCACAGCCAGCCAATTTCTATACATTTTTTAAAAGACAAACATGCATCATCAAAAGGACTGTCTGACAAATTTATTTTAAAAGACTGGGAAACTTAAAAACAACAAAGCACATAGTATATGTGAATCATGTCACTAGTGGTGGAGTAAAGGACCGGCTTTTGTTACGTAAGATTAACCCTTATGCAGGCTACATAAAAAGTAATCCAGTGCTCTACTGTATACTGATACTACCACAGATATAATTTTAGAAGTCTCATAATTTATATTATGTAGTTTAAAAAAAAATATCCAGGGAGCTGTTCTTAAAAACATAGGCCATGATTGGGAAGTAATGATAAATTTCTCTGTAAGCGTTAAGGACGAGGTTGCCCACACCTGCTGTTGGGGCTGCTGGTGGCAAGCTCTCCCACTCTCTAGCTTACACACTGCCTGTGAACACAGTAGCCTAGCACACATGCACACACACAAAGTCCCCAGACACCTGGGGCTATCAGGGACCATCATATTGCCGACTCCTTGTATTCAGGGAGAGGTGGAAACACAGCCTCAAGCAGCAGAAACACCAGGCCTCAGTCATGGCCAGTTCTGTTTCCAATTCCGGGTTTGCACGCTGCTTTGAGCCTTTGCTTTTATAGTTGTTGCCTTTAAAGTTCTGAACATTTGGGGCATGGCTCCCTCTCACTAGCAGTGTACCTCTACCTCAAGGCACATTTTTAAATGCATCTTTGGCAGCACACACTCACTTCTGTGAACCACCAGATGACGTACATAGGTTAATTTTCATTTCTATCAATGTGAATGCTGACATACAAAGGGCAATATCAAAGCAGGTCTAGTGAGTTCATCAAGTATTTCTAAACTTCCATGATTTTAATTCTTGTTACTACAGTACTTGGATAGGCATTCTGCTATCTTAGAGACTTTTTTTCATGTAACACAGGCAAAATGCAATGTGAAGAAAACTATCACTGAAAGGAAAACTATTTCCCCAAATTATGACTTACATCTACAGTAATGAGAAGCTATTAAAACAGATTTTTGAAGAATCTCTAAGATGATCTGCTGCTTAGAATTTTGAGATTTCCCACTGCTCTGCTATTTTCCCATTCTGTACGCACAGCACAGATTCCTGCCAAGCCTGTTACAGTGAACAAACAATGTCCTCTCTGTCAGAACAGAGAATGAATAGTATCACAAAATTCTCCTCTAATGTACAGCCTACATTCCCCTCACCCCAACCCTTCAGAGGAGAATAACCAGGATGAGGACCGAGGAGGCAAACAGGACTCTCCCCTCATCAGTCTGAAACTGCCTTCTAGAACACTAAGGGCTAAGCAGTGCCAACTATATCATATTAACTTCTAAACAGGGAAAGTTGGCAAGTTTATTTTCTTTTAAATGAGATCATATGTTTTTGCATTTCTGTGTGTGTGGGTTACACAAATATCTTTATAAGGAAGGAAGGAGGTGTTTCATCAGATAAAATAAAACAGCTTTTAGCTCCAGACTGAGCAGCGACAGGGGAACTTCATAGAAATGACATAGCAATTTGTGCTAAAATATTGGCAGCTAATTCATGAATGCTGAAGCTGACTATGAATTCAGCTGCTTCTGTTAAGCCTTTATTCCCACTGAGCTCATGATTCATAAAGAAAGCGCCTAGAGTTACTCCTGTGAAACACAGAGTATCATGCTGACAGATTCTTCTTTGGTCTCTCTCTCTCTCTGTCTCTCTCTCTCTCTCTCTCTCTCTCTCACACACACACACACACACACACACACACACACACACACACACCTCCCCACAAGAGGCATTAAAGATACAATTTCCAAAACAAGAACTTCATAAAGCATTTCTCACAAACCAATGAAAGGTTTTCTAAAGACTTACTTAGCAAGTATTTTCACAGAAGAACATGGAGTTCCTTAAAATCTTTCATACTTGTCCCAGTTGGTGCAAAATATTATGATTCAGGCTTTCCCCCTCTTGTGATATGAATATAGCATATATTTCATTTTAACCTCTAAAGGAAACTACTCATTTTTTTCCTCATTAAAGATAAAATGTTATTTTTATAATCAAACCCCACTGGCTTTTGTGTTCACAAGCATCTGTAACATGAAGAGAAAAGGCCAGCCTCTCCTTTCTTCCTCCTTTCCCACACATTTTTCGTCCAGCCCAGTGAGCTCCCAGATTCTGATGGCATTCTCCTGGTAACACATTTAGAAGAGGCTGCAGGATGCCCCCACAGCACTGCTTTCTTCTCTGTCTTTCTCTCATATCACTCTAGGTCTGTATGAGACTAAACAATTAAACCTTTGTGCTGTACTGCTGCCATTTGAAAATTCTAATGATGTGCTCCCTTATTGGTTCAATGGTAATATTTACCTTGGAGAAAACGTTTGTCCAGAAGAGTATTCCAAATTCTGGCAATGTATCCCCTTTGAAATGTTGTGGTGAGAGTTCTCTCTTCTTTCTTGGCCTATAACCAAAGAGAAGGAAAGTTAGAAAAAAGGCAGATGGGTATACACTGTGAAAGATACTTTTTCAGTTCACTGTAAAAATGCTAGTGTTCCTACATCAAACACCGAGCTTTTTATTCTGATATTCCTTCCTGAACAAAGCAAAAGGCAAAGTAGAGGCACAACTATAGACAGTAATAATTAAATAAACAATTTTCAATAAAGAAAAGTTCTTTTCTCCCCATCCCCCCAAAAATTTTTATTAAAAAAAAAGTCAAGTCAGTATCTAATCAAATACAAATCAACTTACTTGTTCTTTCCATATTTTTCCTAGTTTATGCCAAGTAAATCTCTGTGTTACTATAGTGATATTAAAATCCAAATAACTGTTTTCTGAAATTTGAAATAAAACAAGTGATTTGTTTAAAAAGAGGATTTACACTTTTTGGTAAGATAAGCTGTAATTCAGTTCAGAACATTTCTTACTAAAAGGAAACTTTGGTGCAGAGTGAACAGTGTGACCTGGACTACATGCAGACCTAGCCCCATGCCATCCCTTCACGTATTCTGCTGTGGAAATGGGGAAGATGTGCAGAAAAGGAGAGGCTACATGGGCAACTTCCCTTGCTGTCCCTCCTGATTCACCAGCTCCCCAATCCTATCTGTGGTTTTGCCCTATTTTTGGTGTCTAGCCCTTCCTCTGCACCTCTTCATCTCTACTTCTCTTTCCATCCTCAAATAAGCCTCTCCCATATTGAACACTTACTTTACATAAGACACCATGACAAGTGCAGTGTGAAACGGAGGAGAGAAGAGGGATGGAATGAATTAATGAATGAACGAACAAATGAAAGAATGACTGTGTTCACACTCCAAGAAGAATATCCTGGCTGTTGATAAGATTCAGAACATCTCAATCATTTTAACCAACTGAGGCATAACTCCTGATTTCCAATATAACAAACTGAGTGGAACATGAGCCTTCTAGATTTGCATCTACTGATGTTCTTGTGTTAGAACCACATATTATCATCTTAGACTGTGTGTTGCTTTCTCCCATAGCAGAGTCAGCAGAATATTTGTATTATCTTGAGGTATATCTATTATTTCCTTGACAGTTAGAAAGTGAGAAACTGCTGCCTTTTGTTTGCCACGGCATTCAGCTACATTATTATTTTCTTTCAATAAGTTTAAAAAGATCAGAACAAGACACACAATCATGGGCTATCTTCTTCTAACCCAACTCTAGGTCTTTGTGCTGTCAATCACACCAACAAGGAGACAGCTTCGCTGGGTGCAGGGCTTGATGGACAACTGAGTTCCCAAGGCATCGTGCCACTCCTTTATTGGACTTCAGGACAAGCCTGCTTCTGAGCTCCTGCCATGCAGATATATTGAGATGTGGATTCCAACCCTAAACCTCTCCACTTTTCCATGTCATTATGGTCAATCCAGGGTATTCTCCTGAATTAGTCAGAAATATGAGCAAGATTTAATTATCTAAATAAAACTGCTGCAATTTTAACTGCAAATATTTACAGTTAAATAAGGTAAAATGTAAAGAATTAATGATTTTCTTTAAAAATGTCAAATTCTATTAATGTGTATCAAAAATAATGTTTGGATGTGCTTTCCCTATTACCAGATATGAATAAGATCCTAATTTGAAAATTAGAGACAAGATTTGACAGTTAATTTAATAATACAAAAATGGTACACAGTTTTATATTTTCAGAACATACATTTTGCAACTTAAAAACATTCCAAGGAAACAAGGTCATTAAGACACTGTAGTGCTATCATAAGGACCAACATAGAGCTCAATGCTTTAGCATCCAGAAATAAACCCATATGTTTATATTCCTTCACCTATATGGCCAACTGAGTTTTTGGCAAGGGTGCCAAGACTATTCAACGGGGAAAAAACAGGCTTCTTCAACAAATGGTTCTGGAACAATTAGACAGCCATTCTCTTATAAGAGAATAAACTCAGACCACAGAAAAAGTTAACACAAAATGGATCAAATACCTAAAGGTAAGAGCAAAAAGTACAAACCTGTTAGAAAAAAACCAAAGGGCTAAGTCTTCATCAGCTCAGATTTGGCAGCGGCATGTGACCCCAAAAGCACAAGCCAACTAAAGAAAAAAAAGATAAACTGGACTTTATTAAAATAAAAATATTTGTAATTTAAAGGATAATATCAAGTGAATAAAAAGACAACCCAAGGAATGGGAGAAAATATATGCAAATCGTATGTGATAAGGGATTTACATATAGAATATATAAACAGCTCTTATAACTCAATAATAAAAAGACAAATAACCCAACAAAAAATGGGCAACGGATCCAAAGAGACATTTCTCCATAAAAAATATACAAATAATAAGAAAACACATGAAAAGATGCCAACATCAGTAGCCAGCAACGAAGTGGAAATCATCCACAATGAGATACCACTTAATACCTTCCTAGTGATCTGCACTTGGCCATAACAAACATGTCTAAGCTAATAACAAGTGTTAAGAGGATGTGGAGATATCAGAACCCCCATGCCCCGCTGATGGGAATGTAAAATGACACAGCTGCTTTTAAACAGTCTGGTAGTTCCTCAGAATCTTAAACAGAGAGTTACCATTAGACCCAGCAATTCTACTAGGTACATAGCAAAAGAAATGAAAATACACATTCACACAAAAACTTGCACATAGATATTCACAGAAGCATTATTCATAACAGCCAAAGAAGGAGAAACGGTTCCCCTCAACTGGTGAGTGGGTATACACAAAACGTGGTATATCCATACAAAAGAATATTATTCAGCCATAAAATAGAATAAAATACTGGTACATGTTACAACATGGACGAACCTTGAAAACATGCTAAGTGAAATAAACCAGTCACAAAAAACATATTATATGATATTATATGATTATATGTTTATAAGAAACGTCCAAAATAGGCAAATACATAGACACAGAAAGTAGATTTGTATTCCTTAGGGCTGGGGAAGAAGGGGTGATGAAAATGTCCTAGAATTGATGGTTGCACTTTAAATAAGTGACTTGTATGGTATCTGAACTACATCTTAATAAAGCTCTTATTGAAACTAATATTCCAAGGATTTGGATGTTATAAGCATCAGTTATTTTCCAGATCAATCTTAAAAAATATGGCAAACCCCAAAATAATTTTAGCTGAATCATGAGAGTTGTTACACTAAGCAGATGACTTAGCTCTGTTGCAAACTATCATGCCCTGACTGGGACAAACTGAGTATAATTCTGATAGACCAAATACTCCTTCAGGTCTCCTTTCATCATGCTGATTATTCCCATGGGTGATAGAGATAACAAGGTGAATCACTGCAAATGATTATTGACCCAATCAAACAGAAATCCTGTGCCTTCAATGTTGATTTCTTTTTCCACCAAATGGAATTTTAGGACTTCCGATACTGATGATTAAGTCAAATATGCCCTCTCCCCAAAACTCACATATCCTGTCCATGGAATGCCATGCTCAGCAGTTTCTGCTACACCTGGCTCTCTGACAGTTTTCACAAGGGTGGTTAGCAGCTTCTTAACACTGATGACGACATTCCTAAGGCCCAAGCGAGTGAACTCCGGGAGTACAGGATGTATTTTTACCAAACTAACCTGAACTCTTGTTCTGGCTAAAGCCACTCAGAAGAACCGAAATAGCGCAATTCTGGGACACTGAAACCCTGACAGATGAGATGTGCACCCGACAGATGGCCAGGGCTGAGTCCCCGCTGGCAGTGCTGGAGAAGGGTCTAAGGAGAGGAGCGTTTTCTCAAGGTTATATCCTAACAGTCTTTTCTGGGGAAGGAGTAATGATGTTGAGAGTGCAGTCTCCCTGCTATCTGGGTAGACAAATACAGGGACTGAGGAGAACAGACTTCAGCAATCTCCTCCAAATTCACGTCTGACTTTTAAAAACTATACCTGGAGGCAAAATATCTACTCAGAATGAGACTAGAATCATGAAGCTCAATTATAGATTCTCAAATTTAAACAAAACTTAAAGATCATCCATAAATCAACCCCACTTGATACCTGAATCCTTTCTACGACGTCTGTGACATCTCATCTGTAACTGCAATGTCAAAAGGACTTGGTTAAACAGTTCAACATACCGAGCACTGACTGAATCACAGTGCTTAGAATATAGTAACTGCTCGATATTTATTCACTGACTGGGTGAATTAATTTTAAAAAATCAGAGTAGGCTCCAGGATGTTGCTGTAATAAAACCTCTCTCCCTCACAATCCTTGAAGACAGAGAAGAGAGTAGGATTACGGGTTGCTCATGACTGGCATACCACTGAAGCAGTATTTCTCACATGCAAACATCATTCCAGTAAACACAATACTTTACCTCTGTTGCAATGGAAATAAACCAATAAACAAAACTTAGACCTACTAATCTACCTATGCTGAATTCCCTTCCATAACAAAGGGCTTCCTCCATCCTAAGGAATCTCTTTCTGTCCTTGGGAAGCCTTGTTAAATTTGAGCTAGGAGTAATTAAGAAAGAAAGCCTCTGTGCTCCACAGGCTTAGTGGCTTCAACCTACTTGGAATCTCGGTTCTAACGTCTAGGGCCATGCAGAACAAGCCCAATAGTTCCCCAACACGGCAACGCTTCAAATACTGGAAGACACCTGTTTAAAGAAGTCCCTCTTCCCCTGCCCTTGAGCCTCTCCTCCTCTATTCCAAAGAATATGGTTTTATGTATCACCTGTCATAACCCAAAGAACACAAAGACTGCCAGAAGAATGGAGCAGTTCCCTGGCCAGGTCTGCCCACAAGAACAGACTAGGTGAAGAGCCTGCTCCAGCTACAAAGCCCAACCTGGGAGGGCAGGCCAGCAACCAAGCACAATGTCCAAGGGACAAGGCAACATGGACCTGATTTAGGAAATAACCCTTACCTGGGTTTTGGTGGTGGGAGTGAGTGGGGATCTTTGGGGCTCATCTATCACAGGGAGGTAAAGCTAT